GCTTTTTTGCGCATCTGCTTCTGCTTCTGCATTTCTGCTTTTGCCTCTTCTTCGGCTTTTGCTTCTGCTGCTGCAGTGGATGCAACAAAAGCAGGGATGGCAAAGGGCAAACAGTCTTGGCAAGCAGACTCCCCGACTTCAAGCCGATCCAAACTAAGTTTCATATCTTTAATAATTTCACTATGAATTGGACTCTTCCCCCAAAGAAGAATCCCCAAATGAATGAAGCAAGTCAAGCCGTTGCATCCCTGACCGAAAGACCTAGAAGGCATTCGAAATCCGAAGAAGTGCCACCCCCGCTAAGAACCACCCCACGAGTACTCAGCCCCTGGCAAACCCCTTTGCTCTCCGAAGAGACGGGCAAACATTCCGCTACGACGCAATTGGAAAACATATTCATGCAATCATCAATTGCGCTTTGGCCGGCGGCACAAAAGCACACACACACACACAGCCACAAATTAGGAAGCCAAAAAGCCGAAAGGAAACAAGGCGGGTAACCACGAACTGGGAATGCCCTTTCCACTTGAAACCCAGAGCAGTGGAGAACTCTTTCAATGCTGCGTTTGTATACGTACTCCTCTGACGAGACACAGGTGGTACCCACTATATATCCCCTTTGGAGGTAGTACCCGTGATCCAAGCCCCATTCAATACCTATATATAGCCATATAAGCTCGGCCGACAAAAGAGTACCGGAACCAATGTACGGCGCACTTGTCGTGTTGCACGTGAAATGGGAACGTGGGAACGGCTTTGCTGCTTTGCCGCTCTGCCGCCGAGTGAGGAAGCGGCGAAAAGGGGCGGTGCGGGGCGGGGGAGGGTGAGGGGGCGGTAGCGCGGATCGCCACAGAGGCGCCAACTGGAAATTATTTATTGTTTAGGCTGCAGTCACCTGTTTTCGACCCCCGCGCTCCGCCAAAGGAAAGAATATGAAACGGGCGTTTAGAATTTATTAACACACCGTTCGAGGAAAGTTGGCTTTCGCCATGCGCCTGCTCCCTTTTTAATTGACCGTTGCAAATTCGTTTGGCGCCAATTTCATTTTCACGCCGCCTGGCGCCACACGCGGCGTATGCGCAATCTACACTGTGCAAAAGGGGGAGGGGGGTGTGTGTGGAACTCTCGTTGATTTGTTTTCCGGCTCCTCTATTTCTCGTTTCGAGTGCTGTTTGTTCTATTTGTTCTATTTGTTTGTCGTGTGAGGGCCGGGACTGCGCGGGTGTTAATTAAATTATGGCTTTTAACTCAATTGTTTCTGTTCGTCCGTCGTGTGCATTAATTTATAATCGAATTTGATCAAAATTCAAAGGGGAAGTGAGCGGAAATTTATTAATTCATCGTGCAACGGGAATTCGTTCGTGGGAACCAAAAGAATTGGGAATAAATAACTAATATCATCAGCCTTGCCTTTGCCCAACGTTGTAAGAAAGTATTTGAAACACTTTTCTTTACAAAAGCAAAGAAAACTAGTGTGTTAGCTTAAAAACTAACAAATGTGGATTTTCAACAAGTGCAACCTTTTATTAGTAAATTTAACTATTGAAACTCTTGAACAAGTAAATTATCGTGGCCTTCAGGATCTCCCCTTTCCGAAAATTCCATTGAAAAGCCCCCAATGAACCATAAATATTCAAAGGTCAAGTGATGCCTCGAAGGCGAACTGAAAATGCGATTTAATGAGCAAAGCTAACAATTAATCGATGAACAGAGCTCCAACTCCGGAATACTTGGCCAGTTGGCCAGCCACATTTTCCAAGCATTTCCCGAATTCGTTCCATAACTCGACCGAGTTTTCCCCCTCCGAACATGTCGATTGGAGCCAAGTATTTCGCTGGGTTAACCCGCTATCACGGGACCGTAGCCCCCCTCCACTGTTTGCTAATAAATTAAACAAATTGAGGACGGATCGTCGGGTCCATTGATGTGTAACTCTGGGATGCCGAAGAGGCAGCGCGTTTTATTAATGGGCAAACGTAGTGACAACTAAATGGGCGCTCCGAGGGGCTGCCAACCGGTTTTTCGGCTCCCAAGGAAGGGGGGAAGGAGGAACGGAGGAGGGGAGGGGAAGCCCGGCAATTAAACGAGACCAGCCCGAAACAGGTGAACAAAACACCGAAAGCTGAAGACCCAAAACTAAGACCCCCTCTCGTTCGATCTCTCTATATATCGGCAATATCGGAAGGGGGGCCTGCGTGTGTGCGTGTGTGTGTGTGTCTGTGTTTCTTCGCTAATGATTCGGTTTGGGAGATCGCCTCTGGAATGGAATGGCTCGAAACTAACACTGAAAACTGAACACTGATCACTGAAACCGAAACGGAAACCCACAACAAAAATCAAACACCATCCGAACTTTGTTGTTCGGCTTCGGCTTCAGCTGGAGTTTTGAGAAATTCGTTTTATATGCTAAGTATTCGAGGAGCAACGAATATGTATAATGTGTATGCAAATGGGATTTTTAAAAATATTTTTGGGGCCCCTCAAATCGGTTTTTTGGCGACATTGTGTCTCGCCGAACTTCGCTGGCTACCCATTAAAAATGCTAATTTTCGAAATATTTTTTTAGCTAAAAGCAAGAACCGCAAGGCAAAAACAACGGCGATGTATTTGCTCATTAACAAATGAATTAGCCAGAAAATGCTAAAAGCAGGGAATAAAGTTTATATTAAACTATTCGCAAAGAGGATAGATATTTAATTCAGAGTGATCATTCATTTAGGATGGGCTTGCAAAAATTTCTACGAATTTGCGATCAATTGTGGGATTTTAAGATGAGATGAGTTACGCACCAAAAAATGATCATGAAAGCCCCTTTCATAACTTTGTTTATTTCAGAGATCTATTAAGCTACATAATTTCCTCAGATAGGCAGCGAATTCCCATAAATCATTTTAAAATCCGAACTATGAATATAGTCTAAAATCTACTCCAATCCATAAATGAATCGCATTTCATTTTTTTTTCGGGAGATAGAGTAGCTGGCCTATCTTATCGGATTTGAGATAACCTTCAGTGAAAACTACATTATGTATACATACACATTTGCATTTAAGGTTGCCCCAAAAGCAAAACAGCAAACGTGATTTAATCACTTATTAGATTTCCTTAAAATACCCTGAACATTTCAAACAAAAAAGAAGGCCAATTTAAACTATTAATGTTAAAATGCACCGCAGCATACATATACATATGTGCATACATACATATGTACCTAGAAACGAAGAACAAAAACAACTGAAAACAACAACGTCAGGGGAAAAACATGATGACGAAATAGCGTCGGCGTCGACGTCAGCAGAGCAGAAACTGCAGTTTTCGCTTCCCCTTAATTTTGTTTTGTTTTCGCTGCATCTCGCTCTAACAGCCGTCTTGGTTTCGTAGTAAAACGTAAAAATGAGAACACGAGAGCGGACAAGTGAATTTCCACTCCTTCACACACAACTACACAACAAAAAAGGCGCGAACGAAGGGAACAGTGGAAAGTTGTGGAACGGGCGATTTCAATGAATCGTGGAATGCATTTGTGGAAGCTATTTGTATTTGTGTGGAACTTAAGAGCGCGGATCAACGAACGATCGAACGGATCTTCTGGAGAAGGGAGCGGGTGCAGTTCCAAATAGTTCGAATTCCAGCAAATACACATACATACATACATACATAATTGGAGTCGGAATGCCAGACAGAGACACAAGTACGACGGCGACCACAAAACCGTTAAAGTTTCATATCTGGGGGCGTGGCACTGACTCATGTTTGTTTTTGTTTTGGAAAGATCTCGACAAAATTCCCCAAAAAGATCCGTTGAAGGCGACCACTGCAAGCACGACTACACACTAAAAGAAGAAAAACAAGTGCGTCACTTGCTCATAAATAAATAAATAATTGATGGGCGGCGCAATCGAAATGTAAAGAGAAAACGCAAATCGCTTAACGATTCGCGGCAATAACGGAACAGTGACTTGCAAATCGCAAATTCGCTGAAATGAATACGAAACACATAACTGTTTTTTAAGAGACCTGCAATTAAATGGATACCAGCTCTGGAAACTTCCAAATTTTAATTCAGATTAAAATTGTTTAAAGAAAGTATTAACGTTTAGTTCAATGGATATATATGTATATGTTTGTATGTACATGCATTCATACATATGTAGAAACCAAAGAACTTACCCTTGTATGTACTTGCATTGTCCTTCCTTATCTTCTCTCTATTTGCATCCACTAAAACTCAAACTGCAGCTCTCCCTCGTTTGAGTGAACCTGGCCCGTTGCCGACGTTCCGCAACTCGGTGGGCTCTCTTGTTCGTTGCTGTGGAGCTCGGGTTTTCGTCATTTCGTTTCTCTCTCTTGTTCGTTTCTTTCCGTTCTCGTTTCTGTGGGGCCTTTTCGTCTCATTTCGTGTTTTCGTTTCATTCGCTTCGGAAAATTTTGCGTGTTCGGACGTGGTCGCGCATGCACACGCAGTAAAAGCAACTTAACGCAAAGAGTCCAGGCAGTCACAGGAATAACAACGACTTAGTTTTTCTTTAGCGCGCCAAAAGGAAAAGCGAGTAAAGTCCCGTGTCGTGTTGACGTGTGTTACAATTAAAACAATTTTGCAATTGCCGCCCGAGCAGTAAAACCAAAAGTACATATATCCAAAAGTGAGGAAAAAATAACAAACTGAAACGGCGGCAAAACAAGACAGCGCAAATAAAATAATTAGTGGAAAAACCAGTGAAAAGAAAAGCAGCTGAAATTATGAGTGAGAAGCGCGACTGACAAAAGCAATCCGTTTACCGTTGTCTTCTGCCTCTTCTTTCCCCCAAAATCGGACGAGACCGCGAAAAATACCATGAAATGTAAAAGCTGGTCCAACAAACTCAACAACTTCGTTGTGCGCAAAATAAAGTTTATCAAGGTAAATATTCCAGCAATTAAAAAGCATTGAAAAGAAAAAGCCGAACGTGAAAACCAAAAATATTTGTGTTATCAAGAATGCTAAAAAATTGCAAAAAAAAAAAAAAAAAAAAAAAAAGTTCCTGATTTGAAAGAGTTTACTAAAGATATAAATTCAAAATTGAAAAAATTTTTAAAAGCATAAGCGAATTAATTTTTTTTTTAATCGGCGATATGATTTCTCTGATTTTTTATTTCTCTCATAATTAAATAAAAAAGGAACAAACATAAATGCGGAAAAATAATTTTCTATGTTTAAAATACTGATACTGGAAAGTTTATATATTTTTAAGTTACGGCAACGATTTAAAGGTTTAAAGTAAAAAACATATGCAATGTTGTCAAGTTTTAAGTTATTGAAATAGTACGTAGAATTTTTGTATTTTTAAAAATAGTGGTTCGGTTTTAATATATCGAAGTTGTACTTTAAAAAGATTTTTCTAGTTAAAAAAAAATATTTTATAAGGTAACTTTAAAATAATATTTTTTTTTATTAAAAATGTCAATTTATCCTGCAAAACTACACCCAATACATTTTTATATAAAGCACTAAATTAGCAGTAGGCCAAAACATATGTTTGCAGCAAATAAAATTAATGATACAATAAACAATAAATTGTTTTTAAAAAGCTTATATTTAAAAACTTTCCATCGATATAAAATTCGAAAGATCAAAGCCGTAAAGTCGTCACTAAGTGGGCAATAAAACAAGATAATACAATGGCTGTCTGTAGAATAACCGCCTTAAAACCCATCTAGATGGAGTTCATTATGAAAACCTTTTCAGATCGCGATATAAATAGGCAGTGGATATGTATTATTAATTTGCAGGCACCTTAATAAACTCCACTCCCCTTGACAACGAATTCAATATATAAAAATAAATAATTTCAACCAGGGATTCAACTATGTTTAGTTAACAACAGCAGTTCATTGCCTCCAGCTCCGTTTGCCATTTAAGCAAACAAGTCAAAAAATACATTTAAACAATAATGTTTTCATGCTGGCTTTAGCTATTTATTTCGATTTTTCGGCTTTGATTAGCTGGTTTCTAGACATAAATTTATTGTTTTGTACACTTTTAATTTCATTTTATTAGCTTCGAGTAATAAATCATTTATTTATTTAATTTTCCCCTGCAATCAGCCAAATGTGAAGTTGTTATCCCCGTGCTCTCCTCTCCTCCTCTTGACCACTTTTTTTCTTCGTTTTGCCGTTTCCTTTTTGCAAATAACTCGAGAAGTGGAGGGAAAAAACGCAGACGCCTTTCACTTGCATGGCTGTTGCTCGATTTGTTGTTGTTATTATTATTACTGTTGTTACACACACACATTCACAGCTCGCATACATCTTTTATAATATTTATTATTTACATTTGAAGTTGCCGTCGCTCTCGCTTTGTTTACTACGCCTTTCCCTCTCATCCTTCTCCACCGTGCTCTGGCCATCCCCTTCGCTTTTCACGCATTTTGTTTTGTCCGCTCTGTTTTGCTACCTTTCCACTTCCTCGTTTTCCGTGTGTGTGTATTCCTTTTTCCCTCCCCTTCGCTTTGTTTATTTTTACACCCGTATCTCTTATGCTCTGTCTCTCGCGCGAAAATTCCTCAAATTCTTTTTTGTCCACATTTTCCAGCGGGAAAAACGAGTTTTTCCAGCAGCGCCGCATTCTTGGCCCTCCCTCTACCTCTCTCTTTCTCGCTCTTCTCCGTCTCTGCTTCTTGTTTGTTTACAGTTAGGAATGCGGTCGGCCTCTCTCTTACAAAAAGAGCAAAGAGAGTGCTGTGGACTCGGTTTGGAACTTGTTTTCGAATTGTTTATTTATAAAAGTCGCTGGCAAACAATTACAGTGCAACAATTGCGCTCTCAAAAGTAGCGCGCAACTTGTTCGCCTTGTAAAAAAATTGCGACGCCAACGGAGACGCGACTGCGCTGCTTTGGCCCCATTTGTCTGAGAGAGCAGTCTCTCTTGGCCCGCTCTCTCGTGTAGCGCTCGGCCCCACTCGGCGCTTCTCGGCCTGAGGAGCTCATCACAGGTCTCGCCAGGGCATAGTTTTTTGTTGGATTTCAAACCGAACGCTTCGTGTACGCGGCGTTCCACTCACGCACACACACACCCACACCGCGGTGGCATTGATATACATATACACATATGTGTTGTGTGGTGGTGCGATTAAATAATACTCCACAAAAGGCCAAACAAATTACATAAATTCGGAATCGGAATCAAAATAAGTGTCCTCCGTGTTGTGTTCAAAGTATAACCGATTGTTTTCATTAGTCAATTTAAATAGTAAAACGTATATATGTGAGCAAGTTCCTATCGAAAAAACAGACACACATACAGCGTCTCGTTTCTTATAAATTTTCCTACTGCGCCGGAATTATCGTCTTGATTATTGTTATTGTTGTTGTTTCTGGCGAATTCCTGGCAAGTTTTTGTGTTTTGTTTCAACAAACATATACAACGTGAGATTAATAATTTGTGCAAAGCAAAAAAAAAACGACAGTGTGAAAAATCAAAGCGAGCAAATAAATAAAATTAAAAACCCCAACACATACATATATATATATATAGACAGATATATATATATATACAGACACGCGCAGAGCCGAAAAAATACGCGCGCTTTATTGAGTGTGTGGGTACGCTGGCTCTTCTTCTTCCTGCGTGTGCCCATTGGAATTTGTACCCCAAATCGAAATTACAACATACACAAACAGAGAGCGGTCATCTCGCTCTCTCCCACCCGCCTAGTATTCGCAGCCAGGAAAGTGGAGTAGAGAGAGAGAGAAAGGAAAGGAGCGCCAAGTTTTGTAATCGTTGATGCTCCATAGCTTAAAAGTAAGTGTGTGTGTGTAAGGTGCGAGAGCCGTTGCATTTGCATTCTTGTTTTGCTCTCTCTGCGTGCATTTTCATTCATAAGCGCATTTGTACTATTTGGCTATGTGCCTTTTACATCGACTTGTTTTGTAGTGTAAATACACTCGACTATATTTCTTTGAAAAATCCCCAATTTGTTTAAATTTGCTAAGAAAGCAAATTATAAACTCTATTATTCAAAGAAAAGATACATAATCAAATCAAAGCAGGCGAATCTATTTTCGTCAAGAGTTAAAAAATTAAATTTAACAGCAAAAGGTTCAAAATTTGTGGTTAAAGTTTTCAGAATTTTTAAAATGGAGATCGTGCAGGTACTGTGCCGCTGTTTTAAGCTTCCTTAATTAAACAAACCTACCCCACTCGGGGGAAACCCACCTTAATTATGCGAAACATGTCTTTTAGAGTATAAAACACAGAAATCGTCTGATCTGCGCTAGCCTCATCAATAAAAATCGGTAAAAAAAAAATACGTTGGCTAAAAATACAAGGCCTAGAAAGACGAGCAAATAAAACTAACAAAAGACTACAAAAATTTCCGCCAATTTTTTATTACTGTTTGTGTATAAAAATTGTGTGTCTGCTGATGCCAGCCAGGCGTTAATGCCCCGCCCACCTAGATCTGCACTGGTAGTATCAGGTAGCATCAGGAACTTGGTGGTTAAGACATTTTCAAGATCCGAAGATGTTGTCTAAATGCGTTAGTTAATGCATTAGCTTAACCTGAAGTGGCTATTACAATAGTATTTAACTAGTTTGCATTTATTTTTAAAGCTTATACTCCGAATTTCTCTGTTCAAGGTTTTTGTAGAGATTTTAAGGGGCTCGTTTGCCATTCAACAAGCAAACAACCAAACAAGCAAAAACGCTAATGATGGTTTTACCTTTTTGTTTTTATGGCTTTACTGCGTATGTGTGCGGCCTCGGCAAGCAATTTTCAATTTTAATGTTGTGCCAAAATTAAAAACATTTTGTGTATATTTAGCGTGTACGGTTTTGGTTTTCCTTTCGCAATAAACTTTGGCCACATACCTTGAGATAGACGTGATGAACCCCCCTGTTCGCTCCTCCCCTTTTTACCCTTGCAGAGGGTATTCCAATTTTGATCAGAAGTCTAAGTCGTCTGGTTAAAAAAGATATACTCTTGATCAGCAATATAGACAGGCTTTCCAGTATATAGTGTATATATACTATTCTTTCAACTGCAGGGTATACGAGCTTCGGCTGGCCAAAGCCATCGTTTTTTTCTTGTTCTGGCTATTTCTAATCAAACGTCCCCTCTTGTGCATTTTTGCTTTCAATTGGCTGCATTCTGTAGACGAAAATCTTATTTATAAATATAAATTGAACGCAGGCGGAGGGGCGTGCCGAAGAAGGGGGATTGGGGATCGGAGCGGTCTGAGGTGGCAGCAGAACGTCCAACGGCGTTGGCCTGGCAATAAAATAGATTAATTTAAATGTCATTTTTGTCTAGACGCCGCAGACGACGCCGACAACGAGACGTCGAGCGGTTGTGCTCTATGTTTATAGATCGGTTACATATATCCCCGTCGTCCCCCACATGGTGCATATATAGGATCGGAATCGGAATCGGACTCGGACTCGGACCTGTGTCATCTGGTTTTCAGTTGTTCGGCTTTTCTTTTTTCCGGCCCCAACAACACGCCCACTCTGGGGGAAACTTTCTCGATTCTTTCGAATTTTTCCACGGCATCTTTATGGATCCTCTTGACATCGCTATTATTATAATGTTCATCCATCTCGATGCAAATGAGTTTTTGGGGCCGTGGTGACGTAGAAATCTGGTTCTCTAGCCCATGTAATGAACAACAATACAATTCGGAGTTTTGGGTATTTCCTGTTTGGTATTTGGCCTCCGAAACGTTGTTTCTGGGCTCTGTGTGCCATTCACCAATTGGTTGACCAGTTTCAGTCGCTGACGCAGATCGTCGGCTTAATTAGCCTCGCAGTCGCCAAATATCTCGAAAAGTAGGTTGGCAACTTTTTTAAAGTTTTTTCGTGCGTTTGAGCGGCAGAGTTCAAATATCGAAGAATTTTATACTTATTTTGTTTAGATTGACTCGTGGGTGTATCGCCGCGGATTGCTGAGGTCATGTCTTAACATAGAGAAAGAGACCGTGTTCCTCTGATTTCCATTTCCATTTGGGATGCCAGTGGCAGTGCTGCGGGTCTGAAAAGTAAACCGAACCAACCGCATTCCGATCTGAGTGACGCACATCGAGCCCCAACAACTACTTTCATTGAGGGTTTGTTGTTGCGTGGTAGATAGATAATACACCTGTTTTGGGGACGGGCCCTTCGGGGCCTTCCCCTTCGATCCAGGCGATCGTTATTGAATTGGATCTGATCGAAGCTTCTTTTCTTCTCCGTTTGCTGATCGCCTTAGTTTAGTTCCAAGTCCAAGTCCAAGTCTGGTTCCATTTGTATCTTAATCTCTGGCGGCTCTTTGTTGCTCTAAAATTAGCCAGCAGCTGAAACTTTCATTGACGCATTCGCTCACCTTGTTTTTATGGTTTTTTGATTTTTATTCAAATTTTTGGTTTGGTTTGTTTGGTTGGTTTTATGGTGTGTCGTCTGGCTGTTGCATAATTAATAATCTGGGCTGAAGCCCATTTCTTTTGTTATCTGAGCTGGGCTGTGGCCGATTCGAGTGATATATGTAGTAACATGTATAGTTGCACACTTGGTTTATTTATGTGCTAAGCACTTCACACTTTGGACTGCGGTCTATAGTAGCTGAGTAGCTGAGGGCTTCCCCTCGTGGCTTTAATTCCTTGAGAAATCACGCCACGGAAATTTGTTTCGCTTATAGAAAAAACTGAAGAAAAAAACTGGTCAACAAAGAAACACGAGCAGCGAGCCAGCGAGCGAGTGGATGAACGAAAACGAACGAAAACAAAGTCCAACAGCATAAACTTCTAATAGAAATGTAAACAGGTGGCAATGAACTTTATTATATTTTTATGCTCCAAGTCCTTGAACCCGCCAAAATCACACACAAAGTCAAGCGTAGAGCGAGAGCAAAAACAACACGGCAATGAACTTGACGTCAATGGCGGACCACTGGGCAGACATTTCTTGTTGTTGTTGTTGTTACTTGCTTGTTCTTTATTTTGTTTTTTGTTTTTGTTTTTGATTTTGTTTTGTTTTTACTTTTGCCTTTTGTAGACCTGTTTTTGAGTTCCGCTTTAAGGCTTCATCTTGTGTTTTTTCTTCGGAGGCTTTGCGGCTGCGCAGCAAGAACTTAATTTATTGCGTGTTCAATTCCTCTTTCAATATAAGCCTCCGATAATCAGTGAAAATGGAAATGAGTTATAAGTTGGGTGTGCTTTGTTATAAATGGATCAGCAGTGCAAATTCGAGGTCACCTGAAATCTGGACTTGACGCCAAAACACTTGTCAAAGACAAGTAGTCCGCCGCGATCGCGATCAATATTCAGAAATCAGATATTGAAAGAAAAAAAAAACAAATTCGAAATGCAAGCATGAGCACCGCATAATTCCAATAAACTGGAATTGTTCGGGCAGCAAATTAACAATTATAATGAACAAATTGGGCTATCAGCATCTTGTTTATTCGATCCGATTGTGCCATTCGGGGAAACCACATTCAAGGGTCTCTCGACTGCATTCTAATCACATGCTTCCTTCTTCATGTCCTTTACAGATTAACGGTACACAGCAGCAGCTCCAATCAGCGCCAAGCAGCGGCGCCAGCGGCATCGCAGCCACCGCCGTCGTCTCAGTTGCAGCCGCCTCGAGCAGCAGCAACACAGCCGATTGCAGCGACAGCAGCAACAGCTTCGAGCAGCAGCAGCCGTTCAACATTGCTGCCACGACGGCGACATCGGCAACAGCGGCAACGATGCCGGCTATGGCCAAGGAGAAAACCCTAACACCAGTGTCCTTGGGCGAGTCCAACTTCAGGGATTACAAGCTGAAGGAGCTGGCCGTGGTCGTTGAAGCCATGGCGACCACAGCGGCGACGCGGCTGCAGCAGCAGCAGCAGCAGAAACACACGTGCGGCCGCTGCGAGGTTTCGGCAACGGCGGCCAGTGAGAACAACAACAACAGTCGCTACGGCAGCAGCAACATGTATCTGACGAACGGTAAGTGGCGGAGGCTGAAGCTGAGGTGTCCAGGTCGGGTTCTCGGAAGTGGTGCCGGGAAAGTAATCCGCGCGCGCGTTGGCAACATGTTGCTGAAGCTCTCTTTCGTTCTCTCCACTCGCAGGCCACTCATCGCCTTTGGCGGCAGCGGTTGCCAGCAACAACAGCTCTTCGGCAGCCACGGGCCCACAGTGCAGTAAGTTGTGCTGTTTGCAGCAGTACCAGAATGGCATGTGCGAACTGACGCAGAAGCAGCAGATACTGGGCATGTGGCAGCAGCAGCATCAGCAGCAGCAGCAGCACCACCAACACCAGCAGCAGCAACAGCAACAGCAACAACATCAGCTAAAGCAACAGCAGCAGCAGCAGCAACAACAACAGCAGCAGCAGCAGCAGCAACAACAACAGAATCCTGCGCCCAGAATGTCGGCCAACGATTACATTTTTGGTCGTTACATCGGAGAGGGCAGCTTCAGCATGGTTTACCAGGCCGTGGACATTCACAAGCGCCGCGAGTATGCAAGTGAGTACTTACTACCAAACCAAACCGAACCAAAGCAAACCGAACCAAACCATTTAGCAGATAGTACGCAGTAGGCAGCAGGCAGTCGGGCGGCATTCACTTTCGCTCAGTGTGGCACTCAGTGTGGCACTCGGGAGACGGCCGCCCACAGCATTTGTACGGCATTTGTGTGGCCTCTGCTTGGCGCCAGCGCGAGAATGCGGTCGCCACGTAGACGCCGCGCTATTGTTGCTGCCCCGCCTGTCACCTGTTTGGCGTTCGGCGCTCGGCGTTTGGCTTGCCAACAACCGCCGTCTCTACGTTCGCGATTATGTTGTGTGGGATCGAGGCGCGGGGGTGGAGGCGGGCTCTATCGAGGAATGCCTCGGTGCCTGCAGTCGGTGGGGCTGCTCCCGTGGGGTGGGCCGAGCAGTGGGAGTGTCAGCTGGTGCTCCGAGGCTTTATCTGTGAATATTTAAGCCGAAAACTCCGTGCGGAACATCACAACCAACCGAGCAACCATTTATGTGGAATCCAGAAATCGGGAAACTTGCTTGTGACATTCGAGTCGGGTGCGCCGCATGGCGGAGCCCAGCTTATCAGCGAGTTGTGCCCGGGGACAGGCGACAAGTCCGTTGACTATCATGTTCTCAGCAGCCCACTTCTGGGGGAGTCTCACGTGACCCTTTTGTTATTGGTAATTTCATCGGGCTGCCAAACCTGCGCGATGCCAAAATGCCAACACAAACGGAGAATAATGGGCGGGGAAACAGTTGAACAGTTGGACGTTGTTATCAGAGTCTGATAACGCAAATGTCGCGCCGCCGTTTTTGCTTTTGTCTCATTTCACTGTTGATTTTTTATTGTTACCTTAGCTTGTTTATCGATTGGGGCCCAAAGCTGACGTTAGTTGGCGTTGGCGAGCAGGCAGGCGACTAGGCTATCTGGCGTCTCGCTCCCGCGCACGATCAGCTGTTCTGCCGTTTCCCGTTTTATATTGCAATTTCAATTAACGGCAAATAAACCAGTCTGAAAACGAGCTAAAAAGCAGCTGTTAGCTGTTGTTGTTCACTAGATTTCTAGTCCCATTGTTTTTAGAGGTTATTTGTACGTACGTGTGCACGACACTCGCTACACTAATGTTTTGTATTTATGCCGACTTATTTTTCCACCTTGTTGTTTATTTGTGCTAAGCCAATTTGCTTAAAGATTTCAGTTGTTCCAGTGCCAGTGTTTTGCACTGCAGTGGCGTGGGCGTGGGGAGGGGGAGGCGGAGGCGAGCTGGCAATGATTTTGCCACAACAGCGGCAAATCAATACGGTCGCCAGAACAGAAAAAGAAGAAGCCGGCACGTGTCGCATAAATGCAAACGCAGCAGAAACCCGCATAGCATTGCAAAGAGCGATGGGTGGGTGAGTGGAAAGGGGGGCGAGGGGGGGAGAGGAGTGGTGCAGGGTGACAGCGGCGCGTGGCTATCAAAATGCAGTCGAGGCCAGGGGCGGATCCACTGAAAGGGGCTTTCTTTGATTGTATTGATAAGAGGAAGCAATACAAATTAAGTTTGCTTATTTGGCGCTCATGTCACTTTTATGGAAAAAACTTTGTGGCGGAAAGGAACCGATCCCTCCCCATTCTGATCTGCCCCTGCCCAAGTCTAAGCTCCACCGAACCCGAGCTGTTATCGTTGTTCTGGCCGCTTTAATTGCATTTAAACCGAAAGGCAATAATAACAAAGTCAAGTTGTTTAAAAATAGGAAGCGCGCACACACACACACACACGAGTCGTGAAAAGTTTCTCCCCCACGCGTGCCTCTTTTGAGCACCGTAAAATTAATAAACAAATTTAGTTTGCACTTTTGACATTGAATGCGATGTGTTGTTGCACTTAATTCGAGCAAATATTGACAAACAATTTGCAATTGGCAGACGAGGGCGCTGGTTCAAAGGTCAGCGCTTGTTTTTGGCTTACATCTATCTATATACATATTTAGTATTTTCCTCTCCCATCGAATGGGTTTCATAGCCCGCAACAATTGTCTGTCTGCCTGCCCCCACACGCACACTGGCAAGTCTCACCTCCCACACCCACAAAACACGTACACGTATACGTACACGCACGCACATTCACGATGAACACAGCAGTTTTCGTTTTCATTCGCCCCACCTCGCCCCATCTCGCTCCCACTTACGCACTTTGCCCAAAATTGTTGTTCTTTTCCACGTTCGATGACGACAGTGGCGTCTATTTGACGCCATACGAAGCACAACATACGAAATTCGGTTTAGGCTTTTCACATTGCCTGCGCAGCTATTTCATCATCTTTGGCACAACAACAACAGCAAATGCCGTGGCAGTGCTTTCGGGGGTATCTTTATTTTCCGCTTACCTGGATTCCAGCAATGGAAGATTTTTCTCGACAACACGTGCTCGTTGCAGATAATCCCCTGAGCGCAGACGTCACTTTCTCAGGAGGGGAGGGGCGAGGGAGGAAGATAGAAAGCAGCAGCAGTTGTTGATTTCCGGGAATACAAAGTTGATAGTGATTTAACTGCAACTTGTTGCCCACTGTGCTGAATACTCGTGTGGAATTCGCGTGGGATATTGCTTTATAAAGGATGTAAGGAAATGAAGATGCTTTCATTTCAAAAAGCGGTTCTGGGGTCTTTTTTTTTATTGAAAATTTAGTTAATTAGATTTTAAACATTTCCAATAACTCGTGCAACCCCGCCCCCTTTTTGGGCCACTGAACTCGCACTCTTGAACTCGTTTGGCCTTCTTATCGGGTCTGTCGCTCCGGTTCGGTTTCCGATCCAGTTCTCCATCCATCCAGACTCTTTCTTTCTTGGGGGTTGCTGTCTGGCGTTTTCTTCACATTCACCTTTGTGCCCGCTCCCGCTCCTTGGCCCTCGGGCGCTATACGCTTTTTCCGTCGGGTTATTTTTAATTACATGTATTTTTGGACAGCAGCTGCTGCTGCGCAGTCGCAGCTGGCTGAGGCCGAGGGTATTCAACTGAAATAGTCGCTCCTTAGGGGGGTTTTTTTTCTTGGCTCCGTAACATGATATTGGGCCGGAGAATTGGGTCATTCAACCTACGACGACTCCTGTCGCTGCAATCCTCTCCTCTCCTCCCCCTCGGGATTATTTATAATTCTCCTGGTTTTGCACCTTGCCTTCCGTTCACTCTTTTTATGGCTGCAACAACTGTTGTGGGGGCGGGGCGTTGTTGGTAGGTGGTTGGGTCGAGTCTTGCACGTGCCAAGGACATTTGACGGGCCGTGGCCCCCGACGCATTATGGCCGAAATTAAATAGCGCCAGGAAGTCGCGCACAAAAAGCAGGAAGAATAAGATGTGCGAGTAAGTCCTCGTAACGTTTTTTTTTTGTTTTTTTTTTTATTGCACACGCATACACACGCATCGCTGTTGTCTCTGTTTAACAGTTGTATTCAAAATCCTTTGCGTGCAGTCAATATGTCGCCAAATTCCCTCCACTCCCCCCAGCTACACATACATACATATAGCAATGCCGCAGCTCCAAGAGGGCAATAAACTTTTGCTAGCCGAGCGAGAGGAGCAACAACCAACAATAATAACAATAAAGAGAGGCACAAACACACATAAAAAGCTAACTCCAAAGCAGGATTACAGTGAACTCTGCTTAATTTGAACCCAGCGGTATTTTTAAAATTTCGATCAAAGTGGTTTAAAAACTCACTTCTCCATTTTACCCCATAAAAAAAAAGTAATGTTAGATTTGCGAGTAGTTTTCAAATTAATGGTTCAAAAATGTTTTTAGGTGCCAATGCCCACTGAGCTGGGAAATCCCTTGCAGGCTCTTTGCTCTCGTTCCCATTCTCGTTTTTGCTTCCGTTTACCTGGGTGGATTTTTTATTGAATGTCCCCTTGGTCACATTTAGGGCTGCCTATTTGGAGTCTCTATTTCTGTTCCCATTTTTTTTTTGTCTTTTTTTTGTACCCCACTTTTTTGGAACCATATTTAAATGAGTTCTGGCTAACAGTTCGCGTGTTACGTCATTGTGCCCGCTGATGGGGACCAATTAATGAAATTGAAATTGAAGAGAACATCGTCTGTCACACATTTTGTGTCAGATTTATTTCGAACTGAACAGTTCGGCGAAACTGAACACCAAAGAAACCGCCAGGGCAATTTCCAACTTTATGTGAATGCGGGGGCTGCATTTCGTCGCGTCTGGCTTTCCAAATTTGGGGAGTCTCACCTGGTGGTCGTATATCCCCCGAGAGGGCAATAATCGCGATCTGTTCCACCACTTTCCCACCCGTCCGAAGATCGTACCCATTACTAAAAATAGTTTCCCCTCCGTTGCTTAGACTTTGGGGGTTGGGAGGTGTACTTCCTCTGCGAGAGCTCTGTAGATCGTATCTCTAACTCTCTTCCGACTTTGGTCCAAACACCTCTCTTAGGCGGTTATTTTTTCGTTTCCATTTGTACAGCAGGGCCAAGACGGCCTTGCGTCTTGCACATAGAGAAAAAGCGTTAGAGGAGTCTAAGCCTCTTTCTCTTAAAGGTGCTCCCTCCATCTTGGAATGTCAGAGTACAGTTTATCTATTTTCTCATTTTGGTCGTTGTCCTCTGCATCAACAGCAAAAACAACAAGAAGAACTTGCAACTACAATGAGGATACAGCTTCTTTACTTGGGGTTATTTATAGAATCTGTAAGTCTGTCCCGCTCCAACGTGACACTGCTTTATCGACTTGGTCAAAATGACTTGTTGGTTGTTGCTTAGTTCTTATGGCAGTCTTGCTCTGCTTCGCTTCGCCACTGTAAAACCCGTTGGATTGCATTCCTTGCAGCAACAAGTTGCACTCTTGATGCATTCTCCGCCTTTTCCGCTCCCCTTTTTTAATTCTGCTCTTTATTTGTGCTTTGATTAGCCATTGATAAGCTTTTCGCCGCCTCTCATTTTGTTTTTTCCGTTGTTATGGCGAAAATAAGGCAGTGGAAAATTTTGTGTTGTGACAAAGTGACGAAAACAACCACAGAAAAGAGGATGGGACATGAGCTCCAAAGGTACTGTTTTTTGGCGGGAAAAAGACCTAGGTGGCAACAGTAATCCCGAGAGCGGGCTTTAAGCAAATATTTATGCTTAGACGGCGAATTTGTGCCGTTCTTTATTCTTTTCCACGTTTTGCAGCTGGTTGCTGGCTGTTTATTTATGTGTGTTTACTTTCGTAGCTGTTGTTGCACATGCTGCAAGGCAGAGAAAAAAAAACAGAATAACGGCAGCAAGTTCAAGGCTGTGCTTATCAGCAGGCCATTAAACCTAACCAAAAAGGAAAAAATGTGCCCAAAACATCAGAGTGGAGCCGAGTGAATAAATAATGTGACTTTTTCAATTAAAACGAAAAAAGGCCAAACATGCACAAACAGGGAAAAAGAAGAAAGGGAAAGTGTAAAAAATCGTGCTTTATTGCAATCGGATCGCAGCGATAATCGCCTTTATAGCTGATCCCACTCTCACACAAACTGACAATTTTTTGCGCAACAATATTTTGAAGGTCAATCTTATTTTTACGCACTTTTTGCGCTTTTCTATCGAATGGGAAATTTAAAACGCATAAAAACATTTTCGCTTTTTTCTTTTTTGATTTCTCGATTATTTGTTGTTGCTGGTGCCGTGCTTTGTTAATCTTTTAATTGCTGTATTTTGTTTTTCCTCTTTGTGTTTATTTTGTTGCCACTCGACCGACGACTTATCGCCCCCGATGTTTTTTAGACGAGATTCTGATTTTATTTTTTATTTTATTTGATTTTTCTCTGTTTTGTTCTGTTTCCCCACTTCTCCCAGGAATAGTTGTTGGCAGGGCGTTTTGTTTCGATCTTGATAGAGAAACCCGCACAAAAACAGAAAAAATGCAAAATTATCTTGAAATTTATTTTTGCCTATAGATTTGTGATAGTATGAAATGTGGGCAGATATGGTTGGGGCTAATTTATTATTTTTAACCTTGTTTTCACCAGATTTGTGATTTTCCGTTGCGATTGTCAATCAAAAAGCGGATTTGCGATTGAAAAACAAAATATAACGGCGGGCAGAAACAAAAGGGAAACTACTGATAAGCGGTCATAACTCCTCACATAATCACCGTTAACCCCGCCAGGGTGCGAAAGGGATGCAAGGAAGCCGGGCTCAGATTTAAAACCCCGTTCAACAAGGTTTATTATATGCCCATCTCGCTCGGGCTCTCTCCCTTTCCTACCCCTCTGTCCGCGGGTTCCAGTTCAACAACCAGTTTAGAATTTCTTTAGCTTTGTGCTCACCATCTCCTTCGCACTCTCCGGCTTTGGTTGGTTTTTCTGGTGGGCAGGAAAGGGACGGAAGTCAGAAACAAGTTCTTCTAAGCGCGCTCGCTTTCGTTTGTCTCGCTGTTAATTTAGCAATTTGAGCTAAATTCCTACTTATTTTCGCTGTCTTTCTTACCCTCCGCTGCATTCATTTCAATAAATCACACGAATGTACGCGTGCGACGGGAGAGCAGAGCTTGTAGAGAGTTGAGAGCTCTCTTTTGGCGACCAGCCTATAAAAAATAGCAAACAAAGTCCAATTGGACCCCCAAAATGGGTTCGTGGTAGGAAGTTTCATTGACTCTGACGATTTTGTCGCCTTAGCCAAAAAAAATGTGCTCCATGTGTGCGTTCATTCGGTTTTTCTGTGCTTATTGTATTTTTAATTAGAATTTTAATGCTCTCGCAGTGTTTTTTGTTTCCAGTGCTTCTTGCCAAGTAAATTTTTCTTGCCATTCAAGTCGAGCCCGTCCTTATCGATAGTGACCATCATTGTTAGAAACCCTAGGTGTTTAGTTGTGGAGTCGACCTCTAACCACCCCACCCTCTCCCTCTTCTCTCTGCAGTCAAAGTGTGCGAGAAGCGGCAGATCCTGCGGGAACGGAAGCAGGACTACATCAAGCGGGAGCGCGAGGTGATGCACCTGATGACCAACGTGGCCGGCTTCGTCCACCTGTCCTGCACGTTCCAGGACCAGCGCTCCCTCTACTTCGTGATGACGTACGCGCGCAAGGGCGACATGCTGCCGTACATCAACCGCGTGGGCAGCTTCGACGTCGCCTGCACGCGCCACTACGCCGCCGAGCTGCTGCTGGCCTGCGAGCAGATGCACCGCCGCAACGTGGTGCACCGCGACCTCAAGCCCGAGAACATCCTGCTCGACGACGATATGCACACGCTGATCGCCGACTTCGGCTCCGCCAAGGTGATGACGCCCCACGAGCGGGCCATGGCCACGGAGCACTGCTCGGAGCAGCGGCGCAGCCACTCGGACGACGACGACGAGGACAGCGATCGGCTGGACATAGAGGACGACGAGTACTACGACCGCGACTCGGAGGAGCTGGACGACGGCGACTGTGACGAGGAGCACCAGCCCCAGCAGCAGCAGCAGCAGGACGAGATGGACTCGCCGCGGCACCGCCAGAAGCGGTACAACCGCTGCAGGAAGAGCAGCTTCGTCGGCACCGCCCAGTATGTCTCGCCGGAGGTGCTCCAGAACGGACCAATCACACCAGCGGCCGACCTGTGGGCGCTCGGCTGCATCGTCTACCAGATGATCTCTGGGCTGCCGCCGTTCCGCGGCAGCAACGACTATGTCATCTTCAAGGAGATCCTCGACTGCGCCGTCGACTTCCCGCCGGGCTTCGACAAGGACGCCGAGGACCTGGTGCGCAAGCTGCTCAAGGTCGACCCGCGCGACCGCCTGGGAGCGCAGGACGAGTTCGGCTACTACGAGAGCATCCGCGCGCACCCCTTCTTCGCCGGCATCGACTGGCAGACGCTGCGCCAGCAGACCCCGCCCCCCATCTACCCCTACCTGCCGGGCGTGAGCCAGGACGAGGACTGCCGCTCCAGCTACAGCGTGCCCGGCGACTTGGAGCCGGGTCTCGACGAGCGCCAGATCTCGCGGCTGCTCAGCGCGGAGCTCGGAGTGGGCAGCAGTGTGGCCATGCCCGCCAAGCGGCCGACAGCTAAAAGTAAGTGTGTCCCACAGATCGCAGTGGCTATGGTGAACTAACCGGATCTCTCCTTCCTCTGCCTCCAGATTCCTTTGACCTGAGCGACGCCGAGAAGCTGCAGCGCCTGGAGCAGCAGAAGACCGACAAGTGGCACGTGTTCGCCGAGGGCGAGGTGATCCTCAAGAAGGGCTTCGTGAACAAGCGCAAGGGTCTGTTCGCCCGCAAGCGAATGCTCCTGCTGACCACTGGACCGCGGCTCATCTACATCGATCCCGTGCAGATGATCAAGAAGGGCGAGATCCCGTGGAGTCCCGAGCTGCGCGCCGAGTACAAGAATTTCAAGATCTTCTTTGTCCATACGGTAAGTGATTTAAATTCCCCGCTGAATGACTTGGGGTTGTGTGTGAGGGGGCTTCACGGAAGGAAGTTTGTCGAACCGGTGACATCAGAGCCAACAGCTCCGTCTCCAGTCGCACGCCCACTAAAAAACCATTCGAGCGCCGGTTTATGGCCCCGGCACGTGGTGGCGATGAAAACAAATTAGTGCGGCATTGAAAACTGCACACGCAACGCAGATAAAAACTTGAACTTGTCCGCGGGAACGCGACTATGGGAATGGGGCTGAGAGACCTTAGCAAGAGCAAGAGAACTAATTTCCCCTCTCCTTCGTTCCATTGCAGCCAAATCGCACCTACTACCTGGACGATCCCGAGGGCTACGCCATCCACTGGTCGGAGGCCATCGAGAACATGCGCAAGCTGTCCTACGGCGACGCCTCCTGCCCTTCCACATCCACCTCCGCCTCCGCCTCCGCATCAGCAGCGTCCTGCTCGAGCGGCAGCAGCAATAGCCTGGCTGTCACCTCGAATTCCTCCGCCGCCTCCTCGAGCAGTTCGCCGACGGCGCGACGCAGCTCGCCGGTGAACGCCTCCCAGTCATCGACGGCGTCGTCCGACACACGGACGTCGGGCAGCAGCAGCAGCAGAGCAGGAACGTCGCCGAGCAAGAAGACGGCGTCCAAGTGAACGTGATCGTCACCCTAGTTCTAGTTGTAGCAATGTGAAATTAAATTCTAATTTAGTTGAAATTTAGTGCAAAGAAGAAAGGCGGGTGGAGGACGCCGAGTGGGAGGGATTAGCAGTAAGCAGTAAGCAGGAGGAGTAGGCATAGCGTAGGTGATAGAGAGAAACTAGTGCTAATTAGAACCCAATTTCTGTTTCTTCGTTTTATATTGTGCTTAGGGCCGAGAATACTACACTAATCTAAACAAACATAACTAACCTAAAGTAAAGTAAAGTAAATTCAGTTAGAAACTTAAATTAAATATTTATATACAACAACATGAATACACATATATTCGTATTTAGAGCGTAGTTAGTCACAATTTAAACGAATTACCGAACTAGGATCACATTCAAGTGCAGATCAAGATATAAGATGGGAACGAAGGCGTTCTGGTGGCATTCTAGGCTTATACCTAAACTAATTTCACGAAGCAAGCAAGAAGCCAAGCCGTATTTCAATTGTGAATTATTAGAAAAATGTGTGAAAACTGTAATATATATATTATGTATGTACGTGTACGTAAGTCTGGATAAGTGGGTTTTGTGTTTCTGTGTTACAGTGGCAAAAAGATCGCGTATCTTTTCATGTAAATTTTGTAAACAAACTAAACTATGTAAAGAACTATATTAGATATAAATCTGCGCACGGCAAAAGAGCCTAATGACGTTGGGAAGGAGATGGGTTGGATGTTTTCGCAACTCCGCCGCTCAGCTTTCTAGTTAATTATAATCTAATGTTCTATGCTAATTATCATTATTTATCATTGTCATTATGCTTTTCGTTTACCTATTTGCCCTATGAAGAAATGTATAAGACTTGAACTACTCTAATTGTAACCCTAATGAAAGAACGAATTTCGAATTTGATTTAATCTTTATTTTTTACTAGTAAGAGCCGCCACTAGAAACTCATTCCCCGGCTGATAGATTGGTCGCCAGATCACCCGTTTCCAACTGAGTGTTGAGTGTAAAGCAAGTCTTATACAATACAATGTAAAGTGTTGAGTGTAAAGCAAGTCTTATACAATACAATGTAAAGTGTAATAGATCTAAGACAGACTGGGAAAAGTTTCTAAATCTCGCGCGTATTAGTTAAATTTGTAATCGTCTAAGTTGCGCCCACTACTACCACTACTCTAGACCACGCCCATCCCATCCCCTCCCATCTGTATCTTTAAGCTGTAGAGAATAAGAGGCAGTCGCGATGAGCAGGAGCAGCAGGAGTAGCAGCTGCAGGAGCTGCAGGAGTAGAGTGTACAGTGTAAGGAACCGAAGTTGAAAGAAAGCAAAAAATACAAGTTGTACATACATATCGCCTTGGGGCGTGGCAGCGGCTAGCAGCCGCGGCAGTCGATATAAATCTAAATCTAAACCTAAACCTAAACCTAAACCTAATTTAACTTGTTTGTAACTCCTAAGTAAATTATTTTTGCTAACCCTAAGTAAATTAAATTTAACGCAAGATGCAAACCACACACACATAAGTATACAATTAATTAAATTAAACGAAAATTACGAGATGTCATAGAGCAGAGAGAGCCACTAATAGTGAGAGAACGTGTAAAATAAATATTTAAACAAATTATATTTTACCTATATATGAATACCAGATTCAAGAACAAGATCGGCAAGAAGCGAAGCAAATAAAAAATATTATATTATGCGTAAATTAAATTGGTAAACAAAAACAAAACGAGCAAAAAGAACGTATCATTAAAAAATACAAAAATATTTGAAAAGCAACAAAATTACAACAAAATTTGTTTTTATTTCGGTTTGTTTGGTTATACGAATTGGCAATATCCGATTGATTGGTTAATTGGTGAGCGTTCCCCCTTCCACCATTCCACCGTCCCCCCTTCCACCGTTCCCCCTTCCCACGTTCCCCGTTCCAAAGTTACCAACCAATATCCCCAACCTTGCGAAGAGCAAGATTACTAGCCAATAGGTTTCGACGACTAAGGTAAATCTTTACCACTGAAAGAACACTATAAAAATCCAGACTTTGTTAAACCCAAACATTTTTTGCTGCAGTACCTTAAAACAAAGAGGAGAGAGTACAGGGGGCAAGGCTAAGATAAAAACTAAAATTTCTCCGAACACAATGAAGGGATTGACTTAAAATTTCATGAAGGCGCTTGCAGTGCGTTTCAAAACACTGTTTAAATTGTTGGTGATTTTTTTCCAAAAGTCGGTTTTTTCTTTTCTATATTATCTAGTTTTTTAATTCAGAAGAAATCGTTGAGGAACTCAACATTTTGTTATTCAGTTAAAATCAATGGTTTGAAGCGCACTGTAGACTTAATTTAATTCCAATGAGAATAATGAGGAAAAAAACAAAAGGATTTAACCGAATATCTATTAAATAGAAAAAGTGCCTAGTTAAACAGTAGACGTTTAGATGAATATTAAAACCAAAAACATATACGTCATAATTGTATTTAATTATTTATTAGTCGTCAGAGCCAATTTTGTGTTGTGTTTCAAGTACTTGATTTTAAGTGCACTTTTGACAGTAAGAATTCTTTAAAGTGTCCAGTTCTGGTCTGTTCTCTATCCTTTTTAGAAATCTCTAGTCAAAGCATATTTATATATGGTATTTAACAATGGCGCCGTCACTTAGGCAAGATTGAAACTGAAACTGATCAGTAAAGGATCAAAAATCACTGATCAAGAAGTTTTGGCAAGGCAGCCAATTTATCCATTAAGCTGTATACTATTACTAACATATATATCGTGTACTATATGAATAACTAAAATTGTATATTTATGGAGTCGATAGTTCAGGCAGATCGACCCTTTTATCCAAGTTCAATCTCTAGGGGTGCTAGACTGAGTTATTTAAGAGAAAGAGCCTAATCGAGAACTCTTAAACGTAAACGTAATTCAATTACCTTGCAAAGTATCAAATACACTAACTAACAAGCATCTATTTGTATATATACCCCGGTATGATATATATTTCTATAGATTTTAAGAAGCAAGCGAGAAGTATTATTGGATAAATATTTCATGGAACATATACTTACACAGACCATAAAAACTAACTTAGAAACTTCCCAAAAAGTAAGCTTTCATACAAAGTGGTCATGTATACGTAATTGAATGAATACATAGGTCCTTCAAAGAGAAGCAAGGATCTCGACTGCAACGTTGTATTTTTCTGCACCAGAAACCGGAAAACCAGAAACTAAATGCAAAATAAACCATTCGAAGCTCGTTACACTAAAAATCCATTTTCGCTGTTTGAAAATTGCCGTTCATATAAAAGCCATAAAATATATCAACCAAAAAGGCACTGTTTGTTAACTCAAAAATATGATACGAGATCTGTAGAGGACCTGAAGGCGAGTGTTGTTTGAAATAAAAGTAACGAAAAAGCGAAAGAGCAAGGAATCGTTGGAGCTTTGCGTTTTTATTGGGCTATAGAGGGGTAAAATAAAAAACGATCTTTTCTGCATTCATCGGAATAATTGAAATTTCTGGCATGAAGAGGGTCGAAAGTTCGATTCAGATCGATTCAGTGCAAGACGCACAAACTCGAACATAAAAGACATTTCCATAATAAATGCAGTGCACTTTTCGGGGGCAGTTTTACTTCAACATCGCAGTAATAAAGATTTTTCTTCTTAAATCTTAAAATCAATAAATATAATTACTTTAAGAGGCATGCCACTTCAAAAACTGATTATAATTAAAAAAGTTATGGACTTATGGACTTAGAATTAGTACATTTTGGCCAATTTTCAGCGAACCCATTTTATGGAAATTTAGAAAGGGGTTGTGTTAGAAAAAATGGAAAAAAAATGGGCCAAAATAAATATATATGTATAGGTATATATTAGAGAATTAAAATACAAACATTCAGAAGTATGACGCTTAAAAATCTGATTGAAATTAGATTAGTTATGGACATGTGAATTTTGATCAATTTTCAGCAAACCCATTTAATGGAAATTTGGAAATGTGTTGACCTTCTTTTTAACCTTTTAAATAAAAAATGTTTGATGCCAATGTTCAAATAAACTGATCCACTTAGGATGTCAGAATATCTTTTTATTTAAGTTCTTTTAATAAATCAAAAACACCAAAAATTTGAGCATTATTCAATATGCCCATAATCCATATAATGTTAATAAAATGTTAATATAACGTTAATTTAATGTTAATATAATTTTAATTTAATATAATGTAAATGTAATGTTAACTTAATGTTAACTAAATTAATTAGGCCACGTCAGCCACAATGATAATTAAAAATTTTTTTCGTTTTCTTGCACCTATAATTCCCAACTGGTTCTAGCTGATTCGTAGTGGGATACCCCTTGATTTTGGCCAATTTCTCAAGTTCTCCGGGATGACCGGCAGTTTCTGTAAGAAACTCTCTCCGGTCTCTGGAAGTGTGTGTGTGTGCGTGTATGTTGGTGAAGTGGTTCCAGAGTGAGGGAGAGAGTATGCGGCCGACTCCTCCTACTGGAGTCCACTCCCGGATGCAGTGCATCATGGGTGGACTTCTCCTACTGGAGTCCACCTCCGGATGCAGTGCATCATGGCCTGACTTGGCATGGGCTTTTGGATGCCAGATGCCTTCCTGCTTGGTATGGATCAGGATGCAGTGCATCATCACTTGACTTGGTATGGAGTTGTGTATATCCTCCTGCCCGAAGTGGAGGATGCACTGCATCATGACCTAACTTGGCATGAACTTAAAGGTGCCCGATACCATCCTGTATGGACTCCAGGATGCAGTGCATCAAAACCGGAAAAGGTGAGTAGCAGTTTTTTTTAAATTAAGTGATGACGTGGACTTTCGTAAATGTAATTTATTTATTTAATTAAGTATTTATTTTATTTTATTTCAGGTTTTTGGTTGTGTATTTGGCTGGTTACAGAAAATAATTGGTGGCACCATCTTACCTGAAACTTGGAGTTCGACTTTAGGACGCAGTGCACCAAGGTTGTTACGCAGTGAGTACATCCGTTAGACAATAAATATTCAAGTTATTTATCTTAATAAATCAGAAATATTTTGACAAAGAAATTAAAAGCAACAGATAAAGTGTCTGAAAGTATTCAAGGACATGAAAGAAATTTAAAAAACGAATTTGATCAAATATTGAACTGGAAGAACATGAAAATCATGAAAGAATAGAATAATAAGAATAGTTGTAAGAATGCAGTTACCGGAGACATATAGTATGCTGATACCACCTAAATGGACTGGACAACAGGCTGCCGGATGAATTATGAATGGCGTGATCTTCTATTGAAATCCACTCCAGGATGCAGTGCATCAACCCACTGAGGTATGTATCTTTTAAACTATTAATTTGTATAAAATAATTAAACTAATATTTTGGAATTTTTCTTTTCGTTACAGGTGATGACTATACCTTTTTACTAGGAGTGAACTTCAAGATGCATTGAATCAATAACCCAAAGAGGTAAATACCTTTTTTACTTACAAATTAATTCTAACTAATATTATTTGTAACAAATTATTTATTTTTTTTTTGTTTTTTATTTAATTTCAGGGTAAAGTGTAAATGTTGCGGATAAAGTGGTTGCAGTGATTATCTTATTGAACTCCACTCCAGGATGCAGTACATCAGCCCATTGGGGTATGTATTTTTTAAATTATTTATTTCTATAAAACAATAAAACTAATATTTTGGAATTTTTCTTTTCGTTACAGGTGATGACCATACCTTTCTACTTGGAGTGAACTTCAAGATGCATTGAATCAAAAACCCAAAGAGGTAAATACCCTTTTACTGACAAATTAATTCTAACTAATATTATTTGTAACAAATTATTTACTTTTTTTTGTTTTTTATTTAGTTTCAGGGAAAATTGTAAATGTTGCGGATAAAGTGGTTGCAGTGATTATCTTACCTCAAGAAGACGAAAGATTGCAGTGCAACAAGGTTTTTTCGCAGTGAGTACATGAATTAGACAGTAAGTAATTAAGTTATTTATTTTAAGATGAAAAAAAACGATATAAGGTTTTTTAACTTTTCAAGAGCTATAGTTAAAGATCTGTTGGGCAAGAATGCTCGTTGGATGAAAAACTACTAAGATAGGTAGCTTTAAAACTAAGAGACTAGCTTTTATAGAAACATAGATCGTGATGCTGATGAAGAATATATATACTTTATGGGGTCTGATGTGTCTCCTTCACAGCTTTGCATACTCCTGACTGAAATTATAATACCCTCTGCAAGGGTATAAAAAGTAGTTTTTATAAAACGTCTATCCGGCGTTCAAACCAATTTTTTGGTTTAAAAAAAGGCTTGTCAGGCAAATTTAGGGGATTACGAGTTGCTACGTGCACGATACGGAACGCAACGCGTTACGTTACGATTACACAGCGTGATTTAACGAAGTAAATCGATAGACAGATAAGACGTAGCCCGCCAATGTAAATTGGCAAAATAAAAATCTGAGCAAACGAAATGGAAGAAGCCTGGACTTTCAGGCTGGTGGTGCCGTACGTGCTCTTTGGTTATTTCACCGGGCTCGCTGTGACGATCGCGTGGACCTGGTGGAGCCTCGGGCTGGGACACCAGAGCCTAAGCATCAACATGATCATCGCGATTCTGGTGGCGTTGACCCTGGGGTCCTTCTACAGCCGTTTTGTAAGGTGGGTAAGGTAAACGGATAGGAGATGTGAGTTCCTAGTCCCATGCGTTTTCCAGGTGCATTTTGGCCCTGGCTGCTCCTTCGCTGTGCAGCGCCCGCGGCAGGGCGTTCCTCATCAGCCTCGCCTTTGTCCTGGTCGCAGTTGGTCCCACGGCCAACATCATGGCCAACTTGAAGGTGATGCTGCGCAGCCTGGCCTGCGGGCAGGAGCTGTTGCGCCAGGCGCTCGGCCAGATGCTGGACGTGATCCTAGAGCCGGTGAACGCCATTCAGCTGGCCGTCGATCTGATGCTGCATGAGGTGCGCCTGGTGCTCAAGCAGGCCATGGTAGTGCTCCTCCGCATCCAGGGGCACCTGATCGCCATCAGTGAGTAGCTGTCCCTCATAACCGCGGTAATTAACTGCATTTTACTGGACCCCGGGTCTTGTTTCAGTTGACACGCTTAAGAACTGCGCGGTGTGGCTGAAGTCCGTCGTGGATCTGTGCAATACGGAAATGGGAACTCCGTGGGCGCGCTGCAAGAAGACGGCGCACACCGCGATGGTAAAGTGCCAAGCCAAGATGGGTGTCTTCAAGGCTCTCTGCCAGTCCACCAAGCTGTTTCTGGCCCTCTGTTATCCCGCCAAGCTCATCGATGTATTCTGTAGCGGCTACTGGGATGTCAGCTGGGACCTTCTCGACAGGATCTCGGAGCGTAGGTGTTCCACGCAAATCTATTCTTATCCTTATCCGTGTATGATTGCCTTGTTCTGGCCGCAGGATACCGCGAGTTTGTGCGGCACATAGAGCAGATGTTCGACGCGAATATAACCTTCGAGCACGAGTTTTTCTTCGACACGAACTCCTCGAAGAGTCTGGCGGACGTGGGCGAGGAGATACTCCAGGATATCAACGAGCGACTGACGCCGCTCCTCCTCCTGCAGGACTTTGTGAACACCCTTTGCTGGGTCATGGTGCTCTCTGTGTTCTTTAAGTAGGCAAGAACTTCGCCATCTTACTAGTCCAATGTGGGTGATGCTGTAATTGTTCCCACCAGAGCCATCATCTTCTACTTGCGCTACATGCACAGCCGGCAGTTTCAGAACGTGTTCATGACGAATATCCTGAGTGACATCGACAAACGGCACGGAAAGCGCGGATATAATCACCTGCTGCCCCTTCAACGGCTTGAAAGGTCGAAGTACATGAAGGTGGGGTTCAGTGTTTCTCAAAGGACTTTCTGGAATCTAGACACACCATTTCATTGCAGCTCACCAGCCTTCGCCTGACCCTGTTCGAGTTCCTGTCGCTCGTGGAAAACGCCTGCTTCATGGTGACCACCTGCCTGCAGCTGTTCGCGCTCTGCTTCCTGGACTACGGACTCTTCTGGCTGCTGGCCACGATGTCCTTTCACGGCCACCAGGAGGCCGGGCTGGAGGTGCCCGCCTACATCGACCTGCAGATCAAGGGCGGGGGCTATGTGGCCGACATCATGCGGGGGTCGCCAATGCCTTTCGCCCATTGACGCAGAAGAGCGTCCTGGACACCAATCCCTGCCTGCCGCTGCCCGTGCAGCCCGACTATGTGAAGTACGCCCTCATACTGCTGCTCTGCCTGTTCGCCTGGCTCATCCTGCTGGCCGAGCCGTACGTGCTGCGCACCCGCCATCTCATCATGGCCTACTTTTACCCGGCGCGAGCCAAGGAAAGGGCCTTGTTCCTTTACAACAAGATCTCCGAGGACAGAGGCAAGCGAGAGTATGCATTGCATTAGTGTGGTTCTAATGGTGTTTCTGCAGCAACCATCTTCAAGATGGTCCGTCGCAGGAAGCGAAACGAGTTCAATCACAGGCGGGATGTGCAGTTGCTCGGATGGGTGACCTGGCTGGAAAACATATTCTCCTGCTTGGTCAGTTGGTGCTGCTGCTGCTGCCGCTGCTGTCAGAGCAGCGAGAAGTGCACCATATGCAGCAAGCCCTTGACTGCGTGAGTATCTCAAACCGCTCTGCGCACGTTGCTTATCGCGGGCCTCACAATCACGTATCCGTTTCCGCATCAGGTCGAATCGGAACCCCTGCGACACGCCGGGCTGCAAGGGGATCTTTTGCGATGCGTGCTTCAACAGGTCTCTCAATAAGTGCTGCCTGTGCAACCGGCCGTTGGACTACGGCGATTTCTCAGACGTTTCCGAAGTGGAGTGAGTAAGAACCAGGTTGAGAAACCCCCGCTGAGCTGATTGCTTTCTTCGTGCAGCGACTCGTCGGACTTCTCCGAAAAGGTATCGTTCAGAGAGGAGCGCTACAGGGAGATTTGCGGGCAACAAAGCCGTCGAAGGAAAAGGTAAATTAAACCTTAGGGCACTCCGGATCCACAAGTCGGATATGCAGGAATAAATTCCCAACACAAGATTGCCATTTGACCGGTCGAAAATATATTACTCTGGGTGAGTGATACCATGAAGATGGCTCTTTATACTTGCTAGTTTAAGGAAATCTAAGGTGAACGAATGTTCCAGTTAAAGTGCAATCCCAGTGACCCGGGAAAGTCTCCACTTAGGCTTCAGAATCTCAACGATTTCGATGATTCGCAACTTTTTATTGGCAGCCACATCATCGTCGCCGCCGCTGTCATTATTGCTGATTCGATAGAGCCGGCAACGCGTTCGTTTGCCTTTGTCATGGCTGCAGTGGAGTGGCGGCTTCTGTGGGCTCGTTTGTCTCCTTGTCAGCGCTGTGATTGTCCGATGGGCAATAGCACTTTGTTTTAAATTTGTGCAGCCCCGTGCCCTCCTCCGTTGTCCGTTGTCCGTTGTCGAGAGTCCTGCTCTTGGGACTCTTTGGCATTGTCGTCGAGCATGTGGGCTGCAATTAAATGTTCATTAAACGCGACAGCAGCGGCGGGCCGCAGATTGTTTCCCAGCAATTAATGCTGCAACGTCGGCCGGTCGGCCGTTCGGCCGGGCCAAGGATCGCGCCATTGCGCCATTGATGATGACATCCAGCAGTGTTTCAGTGGTCCCTTCCCCATCGTCCCATTTCTGCTTTATTTCTCTTTGGGAATGTGCTGTGTAATTTACGGCCATCGAATGCGGTGGTCTCTCTTTATTTACGATCCCCGAGTTTTGACATTTACTTCGTTGCTTTTTGTCAGTTCTCCTGGGCCGAAACTGTAGCATGCCGTAGACCGTAGATCGGGGCATTTGTGGTCATCTCATTGGCTACGACCCTCCTGCCCGCTTCTTTTGTTTGGGCTCTTGTTCCCTTTATGGCTGTTTAATAAATTCCCCCTCCTCCCGTCTGCGGCTTCCATTTGCCATGCTAATGTGTGCACAAGTGTTTATTCGTTATTTAACACCCGCTGACCTCTGGTCGCCGATCGCCGGACTCTCCCTGCTGACCCCTATTTAATACAATACAACCGAATCCCATTCTGGCCACCATGGTTGACACTTAGCCACACACACGCACACTCACAATCGAGGCAAACTCGAGCCAAACTCGAGGCGATGAACGGAGCTCATCTCGCCTAAGCTGAGTAACTATTTGGACTGATTGTTCTGCCAGCACAGCGCAGGTAAAAGACGGCCCGTCTTGACGGTCGGATGGTATCGGCTTACCTTGTCGTCCCGGAGCAGTCTTGTCTGACATTCGATCGCTCGCGCGGAACTGATGATCCGACAGAGCAATCCGTTATGCTCGCTCCGACGATGGCATTTTTCGTTAGTTAGTTTGTGAGCGGGCTTCTGAGCTTCTGTGTCGATGAACTCTTTTAGAAGCCGAGGAGCTGAGGATACAGTGTGAAAAAGACGAAGGAAGTGCAAAGCGAGCTGTGCGGGGTGGGGTTTCAGGAATTCTCAGAGTTGATTTTAGAGCTCCAGAGTTTCGAGTTGTTCGCTTTTGCATGTTCTTTATTTCAACGAACCAAATCCAGTGAAATCTAGAAAAAGGCTCTCTTGTCGGGGTAGCCGAAGAAGCCGATGCTCTTCAGCTCCATGAGCAGCTCGTGGTCGTTGCCGACGGCCTTGAAGATGGCCTTCTCCAACTCGTCGTACTGGAAGTGGGGCGAGAAGGGCATGTCGTTGAGGGCGTTGAAGAGCGTGTTGCCGCGCTCGTTGCCGATGACCAGGGTGCGTCCGCAGTGGGAGAACCTGCAACAGAGGATCCAAGATCATTTATCGTCTGTGGAACAACGGGTTAGCTGACTCACCGGGCCACCGTGTTGAAGGAGGAGTCCATCTTGTGCTTGGACATGGGTCGCAGCAAGTTGCGCCGGAAGTCCCAGACGTTGGCGGTCTCCCGGTTCACCGACACAATGATCGTCGAGTGGGTGGGGCTCCACTTGGCCCAGTGCACCGGGGTCATCTCGTCCTGCAGCTCGAGCAGGGGTCGCGTGATCCCGTCGATCCAGACGCGCACGAACCTGGAAAGGAAACGAAAGCTGTTCCTGAACGCAGATCTCCCGCTGGAGCAGGTGCCCCACTCACCAGTCGTTGCCGCAGGTGAGAAAGAGCTTCGGCGACCACGGCGAGAACTCCATCACGGTGACGCCCCCGTCGTGGCAGCGCAGCACCTCCAGGTACTGGTGCTGGTAGTTGATGGAGCACTTGTGGATGCAGCCCTCGTCGGTGAGCACGTAGTAGATGTCCTTGTGCAGCGGGTGGGTGGTGAGGCTGAGGCCCTGCGGGTGCCGGTTCGACTCGCAGGGGATGCGCGAGGAGGGCGGCACGAAGATGCCCTCGGGGTGGCCCTCGACGCGCTCCAGCGTCATCTGGGTGAAGCCCAGCAGGAAGGGGCTCTTGATGATGCGGAACCGCGTCACGGAGCCGTCCTGCGAGAGGCTGAGGAAGGGGTCGATGTCCTCCTCCTCGTCGTCGGCCACCTGCTTGATCCAGCGGATGGCCACCACGGGCGCCGAGCCGGGCGAGGTGCTGCGCTGCGAGACGGCGACGGGCATGTCCTGCAGGCTGCTCACGTCCCGCACCTCGACGCCGCCGTCGTAGAGCCCGATGGCCAGCAGGCTGGGCAGGAAGGGCGAGAAACTGATGGCCGTCACCGGCACGTCGTAGTAGTAGGCCCGCTCCGGCTCGCCCGGGTTCTTCACGCTCCACAGGAAGACGCTGCCCGAGGTGGGCACGCGCTGCGAGGAGAAGGAGTACAGGCCGTAGGCCACGGCCAGGATGTCGCCGTTGCTGCGGCAGAAGTCGATGTCGCTGACCGCCTTGCGCTCGTTCTTGCTGGGCTCCGGCACCAGCCGGAAGAGCAGGTTCAGCGAGTAGACGTACTCGGCCTCCGCGTTCCAGCGCTCCACCTGGTCGAAGTTGCGGAAGCGCCGCATCCCCGCCTCGTTATTGTTGCTCGAGAGGGTGCGGCCCATGTACATGACGGCGTTGCGGAACTCGGCGCTCCGGAGCAGCCGCTCGGTCTGGCTGGTCACCTTGTCCTTCTCGGCGACGGCCTCGACCTCGTCCTCCAGGACCTCCCCCTCCTCGGCCTGCGCCGCCAGCGCGGCGGGCAGGTCCTTCACCGAGCCCATCATCGAGGTGGCGTACTCCTTGCTGATGTTGTTCAGCGTGTCGTACATCTCGAAGTTGGACACGTACGAGCTGACCGTCGCCTTGCTGATCAGGATCGTGTTGGCCGCACGCGAGGTGACCAGCACCGTGTCCGTCTGGGCGTCGTTGTCCGAGCGGCGGCGCACCTTGCCCTTGCCGACCGTTAGATACTCGTAGAGCCGGTTGTCCCGCTCCGCCTCCTCGCCCTCCGGCGACCCCTTGGCCACCGTCGTCTGCGGCTGGCTGTGCAGCTCGAAGAGCTCCGACTTGCGCAGCGTGATCTTCACGAAGGAGCGGGTGTACGGCCTCGGCACGTAGGCCAGCTCCCTCGCCTCCACGGTGCTGTAGGGCTCCCAGTTGATGGTCTCGTAAATGATCTGGGTGGAGACCGTGAGGCTGCCAGGAAGCCACAAGGGAGATGCCACCGACTCACCCCGTTCATCAGGTCGTCGATGGAGAGCTTGTTGCCGCCGATGCCCGCCCGCATGCTGGAGCGAGTCCGGGATCTCGGCTGGCTCTGGGACATCATCGTGGTGAAGTTCGTCACCTGGTGCAGCACGTTCAGGTTGTACTTCATGAACAGCTCCACGTAGGCCTCGTTGAGGATCGGCTTGGGCGTCATGTCCACCTCCTCGTCGTCGACTTTCTCCGCCACCTGGGGATCGCTGTCTTTAGCAGGAGATCTAGTGGCACTAGTTAAGAGATCACCTTGATCTGGGATCGGTACTGCAAGTCGGCCTGGGTCTCCGCCATGTAGTGGTGCATGCCGTCCTTCTTCTTCGGCTTCCCCTCCTCGCCGGGCGCCTGGGGAACCTGCACCGACTTCTTCTTCGGGTCGACTTCAATGGCACTCGACTGATGGCCGCCGCATGGAGAGGGATGGAGGGGGAGGGAGAGGATCTTCAGTGCTGGCTGGTTTTGCACCGACCACTTACCTTGTACATGCTGCCATTGTCCTGGCTCATAGATCCCTCCCTCAGTGACATGGACATGGTTTATGTTTCGACCTTGTAATCTTTGTAATCTTTGGATTTCGACTGACTTTTCAAACGATTTATGTGGGTTGAGGGTATCTTTTGGGGGCTATGTTTGAGACGTATATCATGGACTTCTCGGTTACTGTAAAGATGTTGGTTTTATTTAGATCTTAACAAGATTCATTTGAATGACACTTTATTTGCTTTCGAATTTGCTGCTTAATTTTATTTAATTTGAGGTGCTCAAGGAACGCTTACTGCCAACTTTCCCCTCTCAGGAAGGGAAGCACATTCTAATCAATCCCAGAAGAACCAAGAGAAGCCTTCATAATTTTAAATAATCGTTGCGTTACGTCCCTTCCGCCATCCCATATCAGGAGCATTCTCCGGCTCTCTGCTTCCGTATCCGCTCTCAGCCGCTCTGCAGAGCTTCCCCTGCGCCTGCTCGCCAGATAATGGCGAGATAAAGTTGGCACTTGGGCCGGAGCACCCGCCCACACCAAGCCCAATGAGCACAACCACCCCCGGGGGGCGAAGGACGACCGGCTCCCTTTTGAAGGTTGAAAGTGCGAATCAGTAACAGTTGAACTTGCCAGCGGAGCAAACCTGGTTCACACCCGCGTCCGTATCACTCTCTCGATTTTTTTTTGGTAAATATCGTTCGGTTCGGTTTCGCTTTCCCAAGGTGTTGCTGCCAGTTTGTGTGTCCCACAGCAGACATGAGATAAATTGCAGCAGCCACTAAATTGCCAAGTCGCAACTGCAGCCACAACTAGAGTGCAGCGTCAAATGGAGTGCCAAAGTGAAAACCGAGTACCAGAAAACTCAATTAGGAATGTGGCAAGAGCCAAAGCCCAGCCGCTGCTGGAAGGCGAACCGCAAACGCCTTGTCCGCCGGTCTTGTCCAAACAGCAGCCGCTGAAGCTGAAGCAACCACATCAACAACAACAACAACAACACTCGCCACACTCGCCGCAGTACGTCATAAATTCAGTGGCGATGCACGCCAAGGCGACCACGGCGAACTTCCTCTCGGGCGGCACTCTGCACCGGGTGAAAAGTGCGCAGGTACGTGCGAAGGTACATACACCATATCCATATCCATCGTATATCCATCGGACCGGCATTATCATCACCGCCGAGCGCAGTCAGGCGAAGTTAAGCGAACTGAACGTGACGCTAATTGGAAGGTTAACCCAGTCGACAGGAATGGACATTGATATCCGAATGGGAGTCGTGTGCGCGCTCCTTTTTGACCGCCACTCGCGAGGTGGGCTCGAAGATTTTACATATGTAGCTTCCATAGGAAAGATCGAAAAATATAAATAGAAATTATGAAACAAAAATTATGAGTAGAAGTTCAATAATTTTTATCACGAAAGCATATTTCTTGGAGTATCGAGTTTATTTGGCTTTTCGGCTCGCCGAAGCTAGCTTTCTTTCTGGGTACTTCTGGTTCGATAATGATACGCTTTTCGTGTTTTATTTAATCGCATCTTTATCACTGAGAGATGTTGCGTTTAGTAAGAGCTGCAATACAAAAGAATTGCTTCCCATAGTGAGAGATACCATTTACCAATCTTATCCGCAAAACAAGCCATCGTGCACTTCAACCATGATTGCTCGAACAGCCCTCTTCAATATAACATACACTCGCATATTGCGTGGTCAAAACATTGTTCGCAGACGAGATACAGATACAGGGATACGGATACGGATACATACAGATTGTGGATACGCAGGGTGCGTAGCGAGTACTGTTTTTGCCGGCTATTTGGTTGTTTGGCAATGTGGCTATGTGGCCACCGGGTCCAGGTGCAGCTCGTCTCAATGGTCTCAATGGAGGCTGCCGAGAGGAGGCCGCATGCGTGCAGAGAGGAGTGCGCGATGTTGGGTAAACACAACCACGAGTAGGCGGAGCTGGTAGTTGGAAGCTGGGAGCAGGGAGCAGGAGTTGGGAGTTGGGAGCTGGGAGCTGGGTGGACCGACCTCCAGTCGTGACGAAACAAACGTCAGGGATCTGGCTACGGCTGCTGACTGCCTGATTCCCGCGAAGAGCGAGGGACGTGCGGCGGTGGTGGCTTCTGTGCGAGTCACGTCATTCATCAGATGCTCCATGATGCGAAACAAATATTTACGGGGGTGGCAGCCGGGCTGCGGAAGGGGTGGGTGGGTCTCTGGGTGGTCCCCGAGTGGAAGGATGGTGCCAAGATGTGGCCATCTATCGGAAGATGATGGAGTGGAGCCGCTCTCCAGACTGCATATTGAACTTCTTGAGGAGGCGGCACTTGACTACTAGAAACCGCTCGAAGTCAGAACTTCAACCCAACAGAAACTTTCCCTTCGGCTTCGCTGGCAGTCGCTTCTTGATTCCTTCTTGACTCGACTTGCCTTTGCCGCACACCGCATCCCCTGTTTGCTTTCGATTTTGTTTTTTATCCCCCGAAAGTGCTCTGATTCGATTTTCCAATGCCAACGTGGGCATGGAAGTGCCGTCGTCCTTGCCGTGTCATGAACTTGCCCGCAATCGAACCCCCCGAACCCACCGAGGGTGGTTCTTACCGACCCGCCACCCAACAAAGCTCACGGAGAGTGAATGTTTTCCGGCTTTGGGAACAGAACTCTGTTTGTCAGCGCTTCGTGCTGAATTTATCTGAGAGCCAGCAGGCGCTCGTCTTTGAGAGCCAGTCGGCGGTCCTTCCTGGCCTGGTCCTTCGACTCGTTGCCGTTTGTTTTGCTCTGCAGCATCTCGAGGGGTTAATCAACCTTCTGTCCCCTGCAGCTCGCAAAAAGATGTGCGCAATTCAGGTTTGTTGTCCTGGGGAGGCACTGGCCATAGAACGGCCACAAAAGGATGGAAGACTATTTAGGATCTGACTTCTCACTCCTGAGTGCGTGGAGGTGTCCGCTTTGTGTTCCATGATAAACTTTAGAATATAACTTGGGCTAAGTTAAGGCGAAGCATCTAGCTTGGATAGATGGGACATACTTTTTGTATTAACCCATCTTAATCCTTTCCACCGCCTGGTTAGTTCCCTTTCGCTTCTGTCCAAATTGCTGTGGCCAAAATGTTAATTTGTGTTGCACGTTTTATTGTTGCAACCGTTTTCGTTTTCGACGATTGGGTAGCGTGGATTTTGTGTTTGTGAGTGGCGCTTTAGTGATTTATGAATTTATTTAATGGCAATTGGCGAGGCGAGCCAAAGTGCTTTTGGCTTCAGCTGGCCGAGCGGAGCGGTCATTGAGCCTCGGAGCCACTTCATACGCCTCGTACGCTTCATACGCGGCTGGGAATTGAAATGCAGGGAGGCAGATTCAGTTTTCAGTTGCGGATTGCAGTGCCAGTAGTTCACAGTTACTGGTGCCAGTCGATGGCGCCAACATATTTTGCTGTCGCATTCAAATTATGAGCTCTGACTGCGACTCTGACATTGGCTATGAAAATTATGCATAAATCGTTGCCTCTGCCAGCAGCAGAAGCAGTTAAAAGCAGCGCAAAAAGCAAAAAGACCGAATGAGAGGCCGGTTGACCAAACGCAGAGCCAGCGGAGAATAAACAACGAATAAAGAAAGTGGAAAGCCGGGAAAGCCGGGAAAGCGAGCTGAGAAAAGTGAAGAATTTATGTGTACGTGCTGGAAATTCCTTAATTTGTTACCCGAGGAACAAACAGTAGAATTATTTGTGTGTTTACCTGTGGCGGCTTTTCTTCCCGTTTCTCTGGCTAGCTAAACAAATTTTCCTGTCACGTGACGGCAGCTGAAATACCTCGAGATACAGCCGAAAAATACACACAGTTCCATGTTCCAGAACTTCGGCAACATGCCGACATGCAACCGCCAGCTCACAACTTTTGATTACATAATTGTCTTGGCTTAAGGGGTTATATCCAGTTGCGAGGCCAAAAAAATGAGCTTTTTTGAAAATTATTTTTGGAGAGGCAATTTATTGTATGAATACGTAATATATATGAAAAGATAGGTCATTATTTCTAGTTTTAGAATATATTTAAAAAAAAAAAAAATTTTGGACTCCGTCGGTCCTGTAGAGGATCTCCCGAGGGTCCACTTCAAAAAAAGGTTTTGCGGTGAGCAAAATTTCTCCGGTCCAAATTATCTGAATTGCAAAAAACCAAAAGGATTACGTAAAGAATAGACAAATGCTGGTAATGAGACTTGTGATTTTCAAAATTTTGATTTTTGACAAAATGGCGGCTTCCCAAACATAAAACTTTGTTTTTGGCACAAAAATTTCAACTTTGAAGTGGCTAAAAAAATCGAAGTTTTTGTCGGAGCCGAAATTCCAAGTTTCATTACCTGAAAAAAATATCTAAGAAGAGAATGTGAAAGTTTCAAGTCAATCGGACAAGCCGTCTCTGAGAAATTTTGCTCACCGACTTTGAAGACATAGTTTCGAGAAAAACGCATTTAAAGTTTTGGCTACTAGTTGAACTACATGGGAGACGTCTTTACAAATACACTGATTACTCCAATACTATTTACCGGAATACTTTGAAATTTTCAGATAATCTTCTTAGATATATATACATTCAAAATAGGCAAAAAAAAAAATTTCGATTTTTTCAAAATCGCAACTGGATATAACCCCTTAATAAGCCGTTGATGCAGAAGGAAAATCCAGGGAAAATCATGGGAACTCAGGAGGCGTCAGGGATCGTTTAACCCAGCTGCCGTAGATATTTTCCCAGTTCCCAGCTCCCAGCTCCCAGTTGCCATGCTAATCAGCACTGTCAACCGCCGAGATACACACACTCACACAGAGAAAGATAATTCCGCCAAAGAAAGATACTTCGGGATAGCCAATCTATCTGATTCCCAGCGCCCGGAAAAAATATGTCGCGCATTCTCGTCGCCCGTTTTTTCACTCCTCTGAAGTTTAATTAATTTATGCAGCTCGGCCAGATCTTCCAGTGCAGATTAAAGCGTTGCGGCATTTAATAAATGGCTCATAAACTATGTAAAAGCGGAGCAGTGGAGATTTATGGGGGGAAACTGGAGGAGGTGGTGGAAGAAGTGTGTACCTTAGGATGGGCCGCCGTAAATGCGTATTTAGTGAATAGCGGCGATAAGCCTATTGTATCTCAGTATCGCAGCGAAAGCCATCATCATCGTTCGGTGATTATCATCGATCTATGAATACTTTTTGATCGGGGCATTTCACATCCGAAATTCTGCCTTCACGCTGACCCATTAAACCAAATATGTCAGATGGCGTCGTTAATGTTCGCATTGAAGATCGTTTGGGGTATTCCGACGGAATCTTTGGCCATCGGGGTCGCCCACGTTTTGGCCCCGTCTTTCCATTCGGCGTCTCCTCAGGTTGGGCATCTGCATTTATTTCTGTCCACGCTTTGACCTTATAAATCCGAGGGGTTGGGGCCACTGCAGATAGATAGATAGATAGATGGCGGACGAGGAGAACACACCAAATTCGTTGGATCCATAAACTTTCCAAAAATCTAAACATAAATTTTTGATTTACGCAACGCTTGGAAAGCGGAAGGGGGAAAGATTTGTTGATTTATCTGACTAATTTCAACAGCCATCAAGTAATTTGGATCTCAAACAAATTGGAATTGGCAGCTATATAGCTGTATAGTTCCGCATATATGCACAAGTCGGCCGCTGAGACTTTCCGAATGTTCGCGTGAAGTGGAAAAGAGGAAAACATTTTTATGGAGCAATTATAAATTGAAGTATGCTGTAAATTCGGAAAAAACTAACAAGCTCATAGATCGACTCAATGGGGTTAAAGGGGCTTGTAACTCAATTCGGATTTTATTAATGCTTTCACAAAGAAAGAAAAACGTGTCATTTTCTTTAATGTAAATGAATTGATCTGGTGTTAAGTAGGTTTCGATATGATAGAGAGTGTTTTTGGTTTTGTGGATTCTGGAAATAATCTTATCCCAAGGGAATGGATTCAACCTAAAGACTTACTGTATATGTTTATCAGAGGATTTAACTTTTAAGCCTTCATAAAAGAAATCACAAAATTAAGCCGAAAAACTTGTAAAGCCCCTAAGGTTGAGCAATTCCACAGTAATCTTTTGCACAACAATTCAGTGGACAAACAACGTCTGTCAGATGTACGGAGTATCTTTTTGGAATTCCTCAGAAAGATCTCCACAAATTTGCACAGCGATTTGCGTCTCTCCTTGTTCTGATGATGATGATCTATTTGCACAAGTGAGTTTTTCGCCATGAAGAGTGCGCGTTTGTTCCATTTTCCATATAATCTATAAATGCACTGACAACATTTGAATTTATGGCACTCGGGAAAACATTTGCCACAGAGAGTTCCCCTGTTGCTGTGGGGCGGCAAATACGCAAGTAAGTGCAAGTATCCAGTGTTGATATAACCCACAGCGAATCTAATCTTATCGCTTCGGCTTTCAGACGTACTTTCATACGAGTTAGATATTTGCAAAATAAAATGTCAACATGTTCAGCACACGTGATAAGATAAGGCCCAAGGCATTCCGCCCACGGTCTTTGTTTTTGCCTGTTTTTCCGTGGAGTTATTCGCACTAAATTGTGCAATCGACTATATTTAGACCGGCGGCCCTTCTCGCACTGTTCTCGCGTGTTATAAATAAACTTTTGTTTACTAAAATCCCCGATAGTGGGCAAATCCAAATGAGTTTCCCCCAACATGCGCGCCAGGAAATCCATCATATTTGGAGTCCGCTAATGGACGACGATGTTGATAGCATGTGATGATGGCCCGATGATTGATTTATTTACACCAATGATGCTGCTCCTCATCGGCGATGCATGACAAGTTCTGTTTCTGGTGTCGCCACCTCAGCCACTCGCTTGCGAAACTTAACATCGGCAACCACCGGCCCCGGTGGGTCTATTTCACCTACTTTGGCCTGACTGATAAAGCGGACAGTGGAGGGGCTTTCATGCCGGCATTCCTCGTTACTCACTCCTGAACTTCCGCCCTCCAGTTTGACGTCAGTGCCTTGACATTGTACTCCCGATTTGGTTTCCAAATCGAACGCGCTGCATTTCAAAATCCACTTCGCGTACGTTAGGCAAGGTAGAAGCAATGTAGCAAGGTATTGGATTAGTTCGGCATTTCCAATGC